GTTACAAAAAAAATTAATAAAAACTATACCAATGTCGTAGAATGCCAAAATCAAACGAAAAAAGACGAAATTGTAAAGAAATGAACTTGAAGACTAGATTATTCGCCAAACCATATTCTGTGCCATTTGCTCAAACCTCATGACCACGTAGACTTCATAATGAAAAGAACTTTTTTTTGCAAAACTTTTTTTTTATTCGCACGCGCGCATCAGTTTTGGGGCTCCCGGAGGATGTCATCCATGCATATAATCACATCAACATGGCCTTACGGTATATTTTTGCTAATTTTGCAACTGTTTTGTACGATTTACAGTATGGTTGAATTTTTTTTTTTTTTTTTTGTGGAAACGGCCGAAAATCCATGCGCGAGCAGATTTCATCCATATAATCAAATCAATATGGTCTTATCTATGTGGGGCTAGTGACAGGAAAAATGGGGCATGAAAGGTGATATTTCCCACCAACCTCTGCTTGGAGAGTAGATCCCACAAGGTGTCGCAAAAAAAAGCAATTCCCTAGGGAATGCATGGGTGGAATATTTAGAATATATCGCAGTACTACACCAACGGCTCCGCCCCTGAGGCGTCGCTAAAAATCAGTATTTTGTCCCAACATCTGCTTGGAGATCAACAGTACTGTTTTACAGTTTTGTGTACTACTTCCTTCCCATGAGCCCATGCGGACAGGTGAGGTCCAACATGGCGGCGCGCGGCTCGGACGATCGCTACCGGCCCAAGCTTTTCTACGAAGACGTCGTCTCACGGCAAAAAGTCGGCCTCATTCAGTACGGGGTGGTCGTGGCAAGCTTTCTGGAGAGCGACGACGAAGATGACGAGGATTTTGAGCCCCAGGTGAAGCTGAAACGCGGCCACGTCCGGGTGACATGGTACCCCGACGGACAGAGAGAGGTTGTTCCGGAAGCGAAGGTAACAACTAAAAATGTTGTTATGGTTCGAATAATTTTCATTTTCAGGTTAATTCTTTAACACCAACCCTTATAAACTATACATGACGCGTGTGTCACTTCTTAAGCTTTGAAACATATGGTAGCATCATTTAAGAAACATATCACGTTCTTAAAAAAGAGGAAATCACAGCTGTTGAACTTTCCCCCTTCCCTACTTTCCAAGTTCACTTTGCCCCTCCCCCTCCAGAATACAGCGTTTACATGTAACTTCACTTGTACGATAACGTTTCAAGACTTAGTACCAATCTCTGTCAACTCTGAGACACAAATACTCAGATTTGGGTATGCTTCTCACGTGTCTGAGTGCTGAGAACGAACGCAATAACATTCAGATCATACTATAAACATTTAGTTTAATGTAGACAGTTTCTGTTGAAATATGGTCGCCTACATGCTTAATTATACTATAGTTAATAAACATTTTGATAACAGTAGTGTCCAAATCAGGGTTCAAATTACCAATCATGGACTGGGAAGGAAACTTTGTTTAGGGACTGTACGATATTTACCGGGGAGGGGGGCCGGTCGTCCGGGGGTAGCGTAAAAAATTTTTTCCTAGGCCCTCCCCCCGGCGTGAATCATAGAGAGTGAAATTTCGTATGGGGAGGACGAGATTTTGATTGAAAATTTTCCCCGTATGAACTTCGATGATGAAGCGCCGAAGGCGCAAGCCATCGCGCCACAGGCGCCACTAGAGCCGGAGTAGGCCCGGGGTTTTTTTTTGGGGGGGGCCGCATGTCCCCCCCCAGAAAAATTTTGAATTTCAACCCATGTTTTGCATGTTGAGGGACAAATTTGGCAGCAAAAATTTAGCTGGTACATTGAGCTATAAATTTAAAGTCAGTAACGTTAAGGTCAGTCAGTGTAATCGAAATAATCCTCTATCTAGCCTACCTTTCGTCCACGTCTTCCGCGTCAATTTTATTACAAACAGGGAACATCTAGCCTATGATGTTCTCCTTAGCCGATTTCTACTATTTATTCAGCCTGCAAAGAAGTCCGGTGGAGACTACAGGTTGTAGTTGCTGACCACTTTACCACCAGTTGATCATGCCTGATTGTTGAACCTGATCTTGGAGAGTCTATCAGTTATTGCCGATGTCTCGGCAGATGGACATTACCAAAAGAAGAAGGTGGTGCATCCTTAATTTACTAGATAGCTAGATAGATACTCCTTAGATAGATATTCTAGAAAGATACTCCTTACTTAAGAGTTAGATGTAATGTGCAAAGTGCATTTAGGTTTGGTGTAACAAGTCGTTTGGCGTAATATATAGCAAGCTGCAGCCACACTGCGTGCCTGTGAAGCTGTTGTGTTATGCTGAGAGGTTGTTATACTGGCTATACCGATACATAGCCTCAAGATCACCCCCCCCCCCCAGACCAGGGCACCCAACCTAAAAAATTAGGTACGGAAAACATTTTTTGGGTGCACCATATGAAATAAAATCTAAATGCAGGTCTTACTGCTCCTCTTCTGAGCTTGAATCTGAAATGGAATCAAATCTTAAACAAGTACTACAACAAAGATTTTATTAGGTATTTTTCTCATAATTAGAGTCATTTAGAGACCAAGAATATCCGGTATGCTATGATACACTTCTAATGTTGAAAATTCCTACAAAAATATTTGGGTGAAAAAAATTAGGTATACAACTCCAATTCTGGGTGCACTAAGGTGCACATTGCACCCAGTATTTCGAGCCCTGCAGACAAACTGGTAAAAGGGTTCCTGTTGTTTCCTTAAACCTCAAATGTTATTACAATAAAAGCTTCATACACCTTCCCCTCCCACCTTCAGGTCCTTCAGCCCTATTTTCTGCCCCATTGTGGCTCATTAGTCAAAGGGAATCTATGACACAGGGCATATTTCTTGTCTCTCGGGGCAATGATGTAATCATGTAGGATTCTTACTAATAATATATCTCTCTGAATAATAATAAAAACAAATACAGTTTACTTCACTAGACATCTAGGCTTTTTGTTTATAAACTTTAGGTATATATGTTTATGACCAACTGATGGCAACTTGAGTTAGGCCGAGGAAAAAAATGTTGTGTTTCCTGTTTCAGTCCTGAAAAAATTAAGGTCAGTAGGTAGGGATTAGCTTTTTTATTAGACTTCAGTGATATATATTTAGGGGTCCATACTTATATAATACAGTTTAACAAAGTAAAACTTGCATCAAGACACTTGCTTTCAATGTCAATGTTAGAAAACCAATTGTACAATGTTTTATCACTCAGATGTCAGATCATGTAGCTGGAAAAGTTAACGTTATTTGTCCCTCGCAGGGGTCCACCAAAAAAAGGCTAAGGTCGGTAGTTTTTTCTTGGGTCGGTCGGGAAACAGGAAACACAAATTTTTGCCTTTTATTATCAAGCTTATGTTTTTTCAAGTTGTGCTTCTAATATGATTGTCCTTTTCATGATACATGCTTATTAATATTATTATATATTGATTATAAAGACTTATTAATTATATTAGTACTTTTTCAAAAGTCCTTCATTCAAGCTGAAAACAACTCATGGTGCATTATATAAATGCATTATATAAAGGATGTATCTGATTCCTATGTGCAGTTGATTTTATTGCTGTCTATTTGCTTTACTTGATATACGACAGGTGTAGAAAACAGCAGGAGAGAACCTTAATGCCTCCCTGGGGAGTAAGCAATGAGATACATGATTGTGTTTCCTCTTGATTTGGAGCACATCATTCATATATATTTAATGTCCTTACTGACCTATGGAGGGCTGACTCACATTGATACATGCACCTTGATTCAGAAGTGCTTTGTAGGGCCTCAGGCAAAAAAATGTTGTGTTTCCTGTTCCAGTCCTGAGAAAATCAGGGTCGGTAGGTAGGGATAACCTTTTTTTTTTAACTTTTTTTTTACTTCTGTACTCAGTCGTGGTCCAGCAGGGTTGAAAGACAAATTTGGAGCTGTGCACCCAATTTTTTTCTGTAGGTGCACCAGTGCGCCCCAATATTTCCGTAGGTTTATGTATGTAAAGATGTTAAATGTATAGTACTATACTTTCCCCACTAGACTCAAGTGAAAATGAGTATTGTCTGTCCTGTATTCGTTTCTATGTGCGGGACACAACACCAGCAACAGCTGCCTCTGTTCCGTGTGTATTGCACTGTTGCAATTTCAATAAATAAAAAATAAAAAAATATAGTACTATACAACATATTCTTAACATCCAACAAAAATAGTAAAATCATTGTTGTAGTACTTGTCTTTAGAAATGAAACATAAGTAGATTTATTGCCAACATTCTAGTTATTCTATTTTATATCGTGCACCCCCAAAAAATTTTGTGCACCCAATTTTTTAGGTTACAATGGGTGCACCAGTGCACCTACCGGTATTCCTAAAAATGAATTTTGAGCCCTGTCCTGGAACTTTAAATCAATGTACAATACAGTTAAACAAAGTAAAACTTGCATGAGGACACTTAAATTTTCAGTGTCAATGTTGGAAAATGGAAAGCCAATTGTACAACGTTTCATTACTCGGGTGTCAGTTCATGAAAAGGTCGATTTAGCTAAAAAAAAATTTATGTCGCTAGCAGGGATCCACACAAAACAAGGCTAGGGTCGGCAGTTTTTTCTAGGGTCAGTCAGGAAACAGGAAAATACAATGTTTTTTCCTAGGCCTAGATCTAGACAACCATCTCACTTCAAAAAAGCCAAGGCTATTGAGTGACAGATTTATATCAATGTGATGCTGTGATTGCATGCAGTTTGACTTTCTCTTGACAATGACATCAAAATAGCCTACATGTATTGTAGTTGTCATTATATTATACTTACATGTTGCCAGTTAATACATAATGCTAAAAATCATACATCATGCTCGAAATTCATTTTTGGGAATAGGTGCACTGGTGCACCCAACCTAAAAAATTAGGTGCACAAAAAATGTTTTGGGTGCACCATATAAAACAAAACTTAAGTTAATACAGATCTTACTGCTCCTCTTCTGAGAGTGGAATCTGAAATGGGAGCTAACTTCAAAATCTTAAACAAGTACTACAACAAAGATTTCATTATTTTTCTGACCCGTAGATGCCAAGAATATCCTGCATACTATGCATTTGATAAGTACAAAAATACCTACGAAAATAGTTGGGTGCACCAGTGCACCCACAGAAAAAAATTGGGTGCACAGCTCCAATTTTAGGTGCACTTTGAAGGTGCACATGCGCCCGGTATTTCGAGCCCTGTACATGTTTGTTTTTATGTTCAAAATCAACTAATCAACATTACAATTTGAAACATAATAGTATTAATACAGTACAGGATACAGGAGTACAGGATAGATGCATAATCCCTTTTATCTCATATAATCTATGTCAATGGAAATAAATGTGCACATTTACTAAATATGAATGACAAATTGCTAAATATACAGTTTCTGTGCAGGTCTGAATTAACTCTTGAGTAGTCAGGTTGAACGTACAGTGTATCTACAATGTTCATGAAATGAGATAATCAGTTGATTATATGTTACACACATTATGTTTCTAGTTATTATGTTTACCGAAGAAAATGGTAAACATATTGTTTTTGCTCGGTTTCCTCTTCCTCCTCCTCCTCCTCTTCCTCCTCCTCTTCCTCCTCTTCTTCTCCAAACATATAAAAAACAGCAATATCTCCATAACTACTGGCTTGGAACACCTGAAATTTGGTAAGGTGGTAGAACGGTACATAAGACATTGAACCTTGGTCATTTTGGTCAACATAGATGTCAAGATATGATTTTATTGGCAAAAAATGAGTGAAAAAAGTTGCATTTTAAGCCCCAAATGGAACTTTAGAACCCATTTAGAACCCGTTTAGAATTTTAGAATCGCGTTCCAATTCGGGGGTTCGATGACCCCCGGGTGAACGACCGCGCGGCCTTTGGAACACGCCATTCAGGCGGGAGGGGTAGGGAGAATAAAACAC